TACCATATCTGACGGGTTTTTTCCTCCAAGTAATCTTTGGTACAGGCCATCACTGAGTTTGTTTCTTCGGCATGAAACTCCCCCTGTGTTATTTAGCTGCTACCTCTAAAGAAGTTTAGGAAAGTACAATTAGCTGTTAAGTTAATTGTACTTAAGCGCATCAATTAATTTATCTTAAAGGTTGCAAAGGATGACTGCCCTAGATAAAGAGGTGGTTGTGATGATTTAGGGAATAAGTTGCAATTACTCTGTGGAACGATGAAACCTAGGAATTTCGTCCTCTGTGTTGGCTGTGCAGAGAACTGTGACCATCAATTACTGGTTAATTTAGTCTATTTAAGGGAAAGCTTTGACTTTTCTGGACCTTATTATTTTCACTTAGTGAGTTTTATTTCTTCACGTACTTAATTGCCTTTTTTAATAGTTTAGAAGGGTATCCTTGAAGGGCTACGCTCATCGACTGAGCTGTTCAATAGGTCGTGTTGGCAGCTGGTTCATGTAATAAGTGTTGGTTACTGGGTCTTTTCATAAGTATGTACTTTGGCTGTGGTGTAATAGCTTTTATACGTGGCTATGGTATTCATAAAGGGGAAATAAACACCTTTTTGTGTAAACGCACAGCTGTGGGAATGGTTGTGCGTGGAAGGGAAAGGGAGAAGGCAGGGATGAGGCACGATACTGAGAGCTGTTTTGAGTGAGCTCTCTGGCTGACATGCACTTGTTGATGTCATGCCGATCCTTGACTCGCATGTGAATCACATCCCAGGAAAAAAAAAATTCCAGTAATACCCTACAGTCAATATAACAGGAGCGTACAAGGAAATTTAACTCAGTAACAGGGAAAATATATCCATTATTCATAGGATGCACTGTTTTGTTTCTGCTTTCTCTCCTTTTTATTCTTCCCCCTTGCTAGTTTGTGTTCTTTGTAGTACTTTAAATGAATGATTTTGTAACTTGATAAGGGTAGTAATAATCTGTCACTTGTTTTCCACAAAGGGAGAAGCCCCTTTGGGCAGTAAAATTTTTATTGCAGCCCAGCTTGAAACTCTGCATAATTATTGCCTAAGTATGTGAGACTGGTATTTCCAGTATATCTAATGTGATCACATGGCAATTATTGCAAAAACCTGTTTGATTAAAACTCAAAGAATTAAGGTTCTTCATTACTGTTTTCTCTAATGCCGTTTTTGAATTTCCAAGTGTCTTGAGAATCACTGTGTAACTATGAAATTAAGCCTTTGATTTAGTTTCCCATGTACTTTTGTTTTCTCTAATGCAGTTCTTGAATTTCCAAGTGTCTTGAGAATCACTGTGTAACTATGAAATTAAGCCTTTGATTTAGTTTCCCATGTACTTCTTGCAGAGGTGAGGAATTTGAACCTTTGTCCACTGCTGATCAGGAGTGGAAAGTAATCTAACTTATTTCTTTCAATGGAAAAAATCCAAAACAGATTGCTTGCTTGTTTTTTTTTCTTTTCGATGTTATATGAAAAGATGAGAACAGGCTTTTTATCTGCTGAATTTAATATTCCTCGCTTATGTATTCCAGTATCCTGGGAATAACCAGCATTGCAATTGTGCTACCGCAAACAAAAGATCTACTTTCAGCTGCAGCTTCTAACAGAGTAAAATCTGTAGCGAGAGTGGCCCTGTTATGAGAGTTGATATCAACAAAAAGTTATTTTAGTAGACTTTTGGTTTATGCAGATTTAATCGTGGGGCTGCAGAGCCTACTTGTCTGATCATACTGTCTGTCATATAATTGAGTCAGTTGAGATCGGAAATTGGGAAATAGACTTCCACAATTTTCTTTAAATTTAAAGATATTAAAATTTAATCGGTTTGTGCATAAAGTAGAACCTAAATGGCTGATAATTGTTGTAACGACAGGCTTTAAATTGATGTTGTAAATAGTTTCACCTGATAGTACTTCATTTAAGCTGTTAAAGTGTTAATTTTAATGATTGTACCAGCACAGTGTGAAATGTTAATTCACGATATAAAATGCAAGCTCTTTTTTAGTACGTGTTACTAAACATTTATTGCTACACGCATTTGAATGATAAGCAAATAAAAACACAGCGATGGCTGCGGTTTATAACTGGTCATTAGAGTCCTCATCCATCAAAACACATAAGCGTGTACATAATGGGACTATTTGCATAATTACAGTTATGAGCTTGATTTCTGAGCATGTAAGTAGTCCTTTAAGCATACGTGGAAATGTTTGATGATCGAGCTTGACAGTTTAAATGGACTATGACTAAAAACTGGAATACTCTGAAATTTGCATCTAACCCATCGATTGGCTTTTGCTCTTGTTAAGTGGTCAGCAGGCGTTGGCAAACTTCCCCCACTGGTTACTACAAGTTACTTGGCAGGTTTCTTTCTCTCCTGAAGAGTTCATTCTGTAGAAGCAGAGCCTGTTAGTGGCTTTTGAATTCAAAACTTTTTGTTTTGTTCTTGTTTTTCCCACTTTCCCGCTGTTTCTGTGAATGTTTCAGCATGTGAAAAAATCACAACTTTTTTTTTTAATGAATACCAAACACCAAATAGCATCAATGCTGTGGAAATACACCTTTTTCTTTTATTTGAGCAAAGATTGGTTGGAAATGTTGGGTGTTTACTCAGTTTTAGTTGATAGACTGAATTGAACGCATGCTATAACAGTCTCACCTGATATGTTTTGTTCTCTGTGTTGGCAATATTTCTGTAATAATGAATATTCGGTGAAAAATAAATTTGTATATTTACCTTGCAGAAGAATAAACGGGCTGATTTGAAGATGAGAGTAGCATGCAATTAAGTTTCAATAACGTAGCGTGCAATTAAGTTGCAATAACGTGATATTTAACTAGAAATTTGTTCGGCTGCTGTAGCCTAGAATTTTCCTCCAGGATGGGTGACATTTCCAGGGCTATATTCAGTGCTCGCTTGCAGCCACTTGTCTACATGCTGGAATAACAAAGCTTCTAAAATCCCTAAAGAATCCAATAGTGCTTTATAATCTAGAGAAAAGAATTGCCTGAATTTGTGCTTTTGGGTATGGATTTGGACATGGATATATGGTATTTTAAAGCAGCTAACCAAAATCCCTTTAATCTGCATTTTTATTGAGAAATATGTAAATTAATAACTGCTTCATACATTATTCAAGAAAAGGCATATTTTGTATTGCTGATACCTCTGCTAATCTTATCCAAAGATATGCAAATGATTTTTAATTAAAATAATTAGACTGTATAATATACCTGAACTTTGCTCTAAAATAGTACGTATTAATCACTAACCGTACTTGTATTTTTAGTTGGAAAGTCAAAGTATTTGATTGATAGTGGATTCTAAACTTTTTTCCCCTCACTCTTTTGCTTAACAACTTGGGCAGAGATGTCCCTTGCGACTGTAATCAAACAATTGACCTCGTGCATTCAAGAATGGTGGAATTTGATTTAAAATTACTAGGGTTGTGGCAGGGAAATGTAGTTGTTTGAAAATAGACAGGTGGTTTTGTACATACCTACGAGGCAATAACTCCTCGAGTCTGCTTCCCCTTGGCTCTTCCTACTATTAACAACTACTGCTAAATAGCATTTTTCTGTCTCTTGAATTCCTCTGACCGTGGAGTTGTAGAGTATAATCGCTTGTCGTGTCATGGATTTCAGTCTAGAAAAAAATTGATTTAAAAAAAGAAGAAAAAAGAAAAGTATAAGGGCTCATCTTCCTTATTCAAAAGGATAGGGAGCATGTGGTGCTCTCACTGATGGAAACTGCAAATTCTAAGCATTAAACCTGCAAACAGAAATGCCTTATATGGGGAATGAATCGTACCCCCCTTTGGAGGCAAAAACATATCTGTAATCAAATCGTTTGATATTATCAATAAAATGCAAAGGTAGGCAAAATAAGTCCGGCTGTTGTGGTTTCTATTTGAATTACTGTGGGGTTTTTTCTAGTCTGGTGCTCAGTGGATGCAAGAACTTGAGGAGCCTGAATAAAAATTGTGTGTGTGTGAGCTAATAAGATTAAGAGTAAACCCAAAAACTTTTGCCTTAGTTTAAGAGTAGAACATTTTCTCGAGTAGACCATTTTCTCATCTCTTCTTTGAAACAGGGCATTTAAATCCATTTGCAAATGAAGAAAAAAACCTCTGACTTTGTCTGACTGAAATTACTGTTTGTGTAGACTAAGTGATTTTTATCTGCGCTGTTACTCGAGGTCCATTTACTATTGTCTAACCCAAAGTGTGTTCTGGCATAAGTGCATGAAATTGCTGGGCAGTAATTTTTAATTGCTGGATTTTTGCTCTTGATGCCTGTAAGAGAATGTTTGCTCTAGAAATAAATAACTACTAATTGTTACTAAGAAATGGAAAGACAAAATTAGTTAAAATTACTACAAAGAGTTTAAATATTAAAGATCTGTTTGTATCTTCCAAATCCTTTCATTATGTACTGTGAAATGGAGTGACAACTGCAAGTTCAAGGGGGATTAAAGAACTGCAGTTAGTAGCTACCAAGAATTTACTGCAGGGAAGAATGACAATTGTGCATTTTTGTTTCATTTTTAAGAAGTGGAGGGAAAATTAAACCCAAACAACTCCAACGTGGCTGATGAGGAGAAGGTGCTTCTCCAGCTCTGCAGAAGGTGAAACAGTGATTAGAGGAACATAACTTAAGTTACGTGTTGTGTACCGATTCACCCAGAGGTTTCTGTGAGATATTGGAAGGAGCTTATAAGTCTCTAATTTTGGTGTCAGTTTTCCCAGCTTGCTGGGAATCTGTTAAATCTAAAAGTTTCATTTTCATTGAGTTTCAGTTAGGTAACTTACCCCAAAAGAATACGCTAAGAGCAAGCCAGAGGGGTTCAGCTCAAGCCGCAGAGACTAGTTAAGCCAAAGCAACCTACTCTTGTGTGATTCTCTTCTTCCAATCTTTGCATCGCCTTTAAAGACATACAAATTTCAGTCTTGATTATTTGTTGTTTTTATTTTTTTTTAGGGGGCAGCACTTAAATACCTGCCAGCTATTGTCAACGACGTGAAATTAGTATTTGATCCAAAAGAACTCAGGTGAGTAGAGTTAATGAAGCGTGTAGTCTGAACTTTATCTAGGTCTTTATTTTACATATACATACGCACACACACGCATATATAAAAATATATATTGAGGCAGTGAAATGTGATCACTCAAGATATTTTATCACTTTGGTTTTATTACCTTTTTTTATTTCCTTGCAAATATTTGTAGGGCTACATAGCCTGTTTTTAAAGTAACAAGTATGGCATCAAGGTTTGACAAATGCCTCGACAAACTTTCAGTCTTGTTGGATACAATCAAGCAAGAATTATCAGTCAGGCAACTGACACCAAAACTCTTAAGCTGTATACTTGATGCTTCACTCTTTCAAGTATAAATTTAATGTAAATAACTCTGGTTTTGTTCAGTGAACCCAATTGCTGGATCGACATTTCAGTAGCTCGTGAACATAGGGATGTTGTCAGTAAATAGAAAGGGTGATAGGAAGATGTTTTGGAACAAACAACAAAATATACAGAAACCAAATCAAAACTAGTATTTCAGGAGAACTTTTAACTTAGAGGAAAAAAAAAAAGAGAATTTCTCTTTCACAGTGCTATTACGAGGTGTTTAATTTGAAAAAATCCTTTTTATCTAATTTGATTGCACAAACCCTTCTATATATTGTCTGTTTTCATTTCTGCGTTCTGATGTGTCAAACTGAGGAAAAGGTAGATAAAGTAGAAATAAAATAGATGAGTATAATCTTAGTCTAACATTGCAATGGCCTGAGGAACCTGGCATTTAGTTTCTGCTTGCCTCTACCGTGAACTTGTTACATGTACACTTCTGCTTCCTCTGGGCCCAGGGAGTACATCTTTGTAGAGTTACTGGACTAAATCACAATTTTGATGTGTGATAGCAAAAGTACTGGGATAATATACCAAATAAAAGAATACCCGGGTTTGGCCTCTTTTACCCCAAACACTGCAGTTTTTCTGTACTTAGATAATTTAAATTGAGATTGAATAATACTTAGAAGTGAAGGCTTAATAGGAAAAAACAAAAAACCCCAACATTTTAAGAAGCGATGCAAAATTAGTGAAAAGTCTTTTAAAAACCTGTATTATAAGGGAGCTCAGCTGATGAGGTACTAATGTTACCTTATCATCCTAAAAATGGGTGTGCTTCTGGGTTTTTTTGTTTTGTTGGTAAAAGCTTGTAACATGAATTACGGCTTTTTTTTTGTTTTTGGGTTATACGGTCCCGTATTATTGCATTAATGGTATGTGATGACTGAAGTAAAGGGACAATAGCACAGACAACTTGAAATCTAAAACCTTAAATGAAATATGGGAAAAGAGTGTAAACCTGCCATAAAAGGGAGAGGGCAAAAGAAGAGACACAAAAAACTCAACAGGCATATTAAAGGCAATTCACATTTCTCTCAAATTCCTGTCTAACTCTTTTATATCTGGGGAAAAAAAAAAAAAAGAGTTTGCTTGTCTAAAAGTATGTAGTTTTTTATCTTGTTCTGTGCTATTGGATTATATTTTTTAAATGTATTTTGGAGAGAAATGAATTTATTTTTTACTTGTCCCTTTGTATGTAGCAAACTCTTTACTGAATTCATCCTAAACGTTCCTGTGAGCCGGCTCACCATCCAGAAGCTATACTGCTTGATAGAAATAGTTCACAGCGACCTCTTCACGCAGCACGGTAAGCAGGACCTTTGCAACCACTAAATTGTAGCATTATTCATTGTCTCCAGACCTCTGGTAGTGCAAGCTTTGTCCTTGCTGCCCACCGCGGTAGAGGTTGTAACCAATTAAGGTTGTTCCATTAGAAGGACAAGAAGATTTAAAGCAAGTGAGGAAACGCTAATTGACACTTACTGCAGGTTATAGATCATCAAAAAGTGAAAGCAAAAACTTGTCATTTTTAATTTTAAAAGGGCACTAAGCATCGAGCGTTACAACTATAACTATGATATATTTTATCAAAAATGATGAATTCAGCTTTTGTGCTCGGTGAAGTTCTATGGAGAGAATGGAAGTTTTTGATGTCCTTTCTTTCCAAGGTGGTGTTCTCTCCCCTTAAGCTGTCCCGTAGCCGACGTGAAACAGCTTTTAGTGTGTGCCGTTCATCCATGCTTTCTTGTTTTCTTACTTCCCTTTTCCATTAGTGGGCCAGTGAAAGGTAAGTTCAAGCACTTGTCTTACAGATTTCTTCATCTGAGGTGAAGCATTTTATTCTTTTTCTAAACGATTGCAGGTTAAACTAAGTGTTTATGGGCTGTCAGAAGTTAATGAGGGAGCAAATAGGCAATAGTTCAATGATAAGGGAAATTTCAAAGGATTATTCTGTTAGATCAAAAATGCTAGGACCACATGATGCAAAGTGCTGATAGAACGAACTTTTCTGGTTCCAATTAAACAAAAATGTTCTTGGTTGATTGGCTTTGCACTGGCAGATCTTGCGTCAGATCAGGTAATGTCTAACCACAGCTATGTAACTTTTGCTGGATCTAGTAACTTTTATTTTCTTCCAGTTAGCAAAAATAAGTATGAAGCCAACGCAATCTGTGCAGCAGTCTGTTATGCTCCTTAATTTCACAAAACTTTGTGCTTTTACACCTGGTGCAGTTCAGCGACGCTGCTAGAAGATGGGGTATTGCATGGAGCTGGCACTAACAATTGTGGAATTAAGTCCTACCTGTCAGGCTTTCTTTCCACTTGACATTTTCTTTCTAATTTTACATTTTGTTAGCACTTTTTATTTAGACTGAATTTGCAATAAGGTTATTCTCCAAGTTTATGATTTATAACAAATACATGTAAAATTATTGAGTCTACATGATACATGTTACATGCAAGTTTAAACCTTAAATATTGGTTTAAAAAAAACCCCTAATGAGAATTAAGACTGGAAGATAGAGATCCTGGAGACTCTGAACCTTTCAAGAAAGAGATAGAGCTTTTCCATAAGGAAGCGTTCAGTACAGTTACAGTCGCCCTGGAGCAACAAGGTGTAACACAGGTTGTAAATTTATTTCCTGCAGTTACTGATGGTGATGAAATAAGAATAAATCTCTAAAAAACCAGAGTCCACCAGCCATGTCACCACATACTGCACCAGCAAGTCCAGAAGCAGTTCAGCTTGATCTTCACTTTTGAGATCTTTTGAAATTATTCAGCCCTTATGAGCTATGCCAAATGAGCGATGCAGTCTTACGTATTTTTAATTGCAAGGTTTGCAGGAATAAAAAGGAGGAATGCAGATGAAGTTGCTGGTGTTGGGGCTTGGGTAAAATGTTACATGTCTCCCTGAGACCATTTTAAAGCTTGCTTGTTAACATACGTACATCAAGTGTTACATCTTTCCTTCATTCATGCATAGCTCTCTGTCTTTTCAGTAATTTTTCCTTCTCTTGGCTGCTTTTAGGTTGCATGGTCTTTGGGGCACAAGTCAGTGATACAAGGTACTATACTTGACTGTCCTGGATAGGAGGAAAGTGAGATAACTCAGATAAAACAAGAGATGCTTACAGAAGGACTCCTAAGGAAGATTACAGTGGGATATCATGTATTTTCTGTATTAATCCTTGACTTCCCGTGCTCAACCAACTTCATTTTCAAAGGTGGAAGGAGAAATTGTGCATGACTGGTTTGTTTTTTAAACCTAACTCTCAGCCATTTGAGTTGCAGTGAATGGTATGGTCTAACATTACTCTCTTTGCGGAGCCACTAAGAAGCTTAAATGAGTCGGTTTTAATAGCAGGGTCATTAATCTGAACTCAGTCCAGTTTTGTTGACAGAACAGCAGTACTTAATGGCTTTTGGATCTTATCAGGAAGCTCCTAACCAGGTGTTTTCATGTCACCGGCTGTTAAGAATGTCTTAAATCTAACGTGCTTCAATGGAGCTGTAACGGAGATGCAAGGCATGTATGGGCTGCTAGCGCTGCCCAGCCTGGCACGTGTGGCACAGTCTGGCTGCACGGGACACTCGTGTCACCCCGCTGTAGCTCAGCTGTGCCGGAGCAGTGTTGTGCACGGGGAGATGGAGCCTGGCACTGGGCAGGACTCGCAGAGTTCGGTGCTGCAGTGATGTTAGCATCCGCATCTCTCTCTTCTCCATGGTTATCTGTGACGTTTGGGTTGGAAGGGACCTCAAAGCCCATCCAGTTCCAACCCCCTGCCATGGGCAGGGACCCCCTCCACTAGCCCAGGTTGCCCAAAGCCCCATCCAACCTGGCCTTGGACCCTGCCAGGGAGCCAGGGGCAGCCACAGCTTGTCTGGGCACCCTGTGCCAGGGCCTCAGCACCCTCACAGGGAAGGATTTCTGCCTCAGATCCCATCTCCATCTCCCCTCCTGCAGCTTCAGGCCATTCCCCTTGGCCTGTCCCTCCCTGCCCTTGTCACCAGCCCCTCTCCAGCTTTCCTGGAGCCCCTTTAGGGACTGGAATGGGCTCTAAGGCCTCCCCAGAGCCGTCTCTTCTCCAGGCTGAACAAGCCCAACTCTCTCAGCCTGTCTCCATAGCAGAGGTGCTCCAGCCCTCTGATCAGCTTTGTGGCCTCCTCTGGACTTGCTCCAACAGCTCCATGTCTCTCTTGTACTGGGGACCCCAGAGCTGGAGGCAGTACTGCAGGGGAGTTCTCACCAGAGCAAAGTAGAGGGGCAGAATCATCATTGACCGGCGGGTCACGCTGCTGCTGATACAGCCCAGGACACGGTTGGCTTTCTGGGCTGCAAGCGCACACTGCCGGCTCATGTTGAGCTTCTCATCAACGAATACCCCCAAGTCCTTCTCCTCAGGGCTGCTCTCCATGCATTCCCTGCCCAGCCTGTAGTTGTGCTTGGGATTGCCCCGACCCACGTGCAGGACCTTGCACTTGGCCTTTTTGAACTTCATGTGGTTTGCACGGGCCTGGCTCTCCAGCCTGTCAGAGTCCCTCTGGATGGCATCCCTTCCCTCCAGCATGTCTACTGCACCACACAGCTTGTTGTCGTCGGCACACGATCCCACTGTCCATGTCGCTGACAAAGATGTCAAGCAGTGCCAGTCCCAATACCGACCCCTGAGGAAGGCCACTCATCATTTATATATATTTTTATATGTATATGTATGTGGGCTTTGTGTGTGTTGATAAAGCGTCATCTTAAAAGCTTCTGTTGCCACTGGTAATTCTCTGTAAAGCTTGTGTCTGGAGAACCAGTAGTGCTGGGAAACTTTCATAAACACTAAAATTCACTTGAAAATAAATTCAACTTGTAGCCATAGCCTTTGTTAAATTTAGATTTTTCTTTGCTCTGTGGGTTTGAGTTCTTATTGCCGAAGGTAGTTCCACTGCCTCTCCTCCTCCTCCTCATTTATTCAATATTTTTTAACTGATAGGCAATACTTTCTTATAAGTATCCAACTAATCCAGTATCATATTTCAGAAATGAGATTTTCTTTTCTAAAAGCAATATGCAGTACAGGATTGTGGAATTGATGGAAAACTGAAAAATGTACAGAAAATCAAACAGCATTTCATCAGTATATTTCTGTTAGAGAAAAATGCTCTAATTCTGTGCTCTCAGAGGTCAAGGAAGATTTATTTGTGTCTCCAGAGGAATTAAAATTCAAAATACATGAATTTGTGAAGCTTGAAGGATTTTGGGGTGCGAGGGGTGGGTGTGTGAAGCAGTTTGCTAAAGCATCGTGCTTGAAGAATGATACTGGAGTGATGGATGGTTCAGTGGTCTTCACAAAATCTGAAGAGTTTGAGACCTTGGATGAGAACGTACTATGGTATTGTGGTTTGTATGCCTCTCAAAAAGAATGTGAAATACAGTTTTTAAATTTGTTCACTTCTTTTCTGGACATGTCATTTGCCGTTTATATATTTCCTTCTGAAATTCAAGGTTAACTTTTCTGCTCTGCAGAACTTGTACTTATTTTTAGTAAGCTTTCTTTAGCCCTGGCAGGAAAATCCTGTACACTCCTTATGTTCTGGTGGGTTTGTCCTAGTAGTGGCTCATAACTGAGCCCTTATACTGGAGGGAAAAGGAAAAATTGGTGTGTAGCTAGTCAGTCAAAGCAATGTTAAGCAGAGTTTGTGTGTGTCATTTGTTTGTATAGGAGAATAATAGCTAGGTGACTTCAAGGAGCGTATTTTTCCAACAGAGGCCAACAAGTAGAAATCATCTGTCTGTATAGCCTGAATCTGTAGCAGATCTTCATGCTTCTACTTTCTGTCCTTGAAACAAGTACTCAAATACCACTAAGGAGGAAAGATTTTCCTGTTGATTCCCTGCTGATGGAAGGACAGCTTGCCTCTGCCCCTTCCCAGGGGCTACATTCGTCCAGTGCAAGGCCTGTTTTGTACATCTTAGATGATCTGCCTTTTTTTCCCTCCACGTTTGTATCAATAATCTATTATGGCTTTGGCAAAAAAATTTGAATTTTCCTGTATAGGGCCTTTGAACACCCCGGTGTTCATCTGTGCTAACGGGGATGCAACTTTCTGCATGCAGTAAAGCGTTTTAAATTATCAGTGATTAACGTCCTGATTCAGAGAGTTACTTGATTTTGAGAGTTGAATAGAGCTTTAAATGTATTAGTTCTGACAAATATGTGTACGTCTTCCTCAATGATGACGTAAGTACATCAATATGTTCTTATACATGCCATACATACATAGTATTTTATGTATGTGTATATATATGTGAGA